CACTTTCTTCAAGACCTGTTTGTTTATTCTTTAGGCAATCCATGGGATGTTCAGTACTCTCTAATATTATAATTCAAAAGCACCAATTCTTCTAACATCCTTAGTTACTGTCCAACTTTCAGATGCATAATAAGTTACTGAAATACCATGGCTTGAATCAATTCCAACTCAGAGTAAGTCTTCAGGACAGAGTAGATGTACTGCACAGATTTTCCATAGCTGTAGTCTTTATGGAAATAGATTACCACATCTTTCTCTCACAAGACAGTTAGCAGGTTTGAACTGTTGTGTAAAAACTTTCAGTTTGCTGATGAGTACTTAAGCACTGTGCCACTAGCCCTCGTGATGAGAAGAAAAGGTCAAAGAAAAGAAGAGATAGTGAAAGAATAGAGCTAGTTTGGAAAGTAACCAAAGGGTGGAGTATGTAAGCTGGGTTTTGCTGTCTGAGTAGGAGCTTGCCAGGCAGACTGTGTGAAAGGAAACAAGCCAAGGTCAGCTGTTCACCACTCAGGACATGTTTCTGTAGACACAAACTCCTCAAGGTAACACTAAGCATCATATCCCCTTCATAGGTCATATTCTCCACAGAAAGTCAGTAAACTCCAAACTGAACTACTAGATTCCTCTATTTTCCTTCATACCTGACAAGAGAATTGTGCAATGACCCTACCTGCTGTCACTTTCAGGGCCACGTCTAACACTGTTCCCAGACGCATCAATACCCAGCCACCCAGCCTTCTAGTAAATAGAACCAGACTACTCCATTTAGAAATCCAGAGAAAGCCAAAACACAGAGACACATAAGTCAGTTCTGAACGGGCCAGAATGTCCAACACCAGTGCCATCTAGAAGAACAGTGGGATGCATATGTAAATATATACATTCTTTGTCAGAATATTAAACCAGAGCTGAGAGCTAACTTCCTGGAGAGGAAAGTTAAGCATGCCCATAGTACCCTCAGCAGCTTCCCAGACAATCTGCTGAAGAAATAAAGACTCCTGAGCAAGGGAGAAATCCATCCTGGTTAGAAGAACACCCTGACCTCATGGGCCTTTTCATTTTCTATGATTTACTGTGGTTAGAACAGGATGTTTCCCCATCTTTTCCAGACTCTGAGAATACACTCATCCCATTCATTTCTACTTTCTGCTCACTGAATCACGTGGATTTAGCAGGAGGAACTCCACATGCAGACACCACATACTCATATTACTGCCCATCAGCCCCACTCCAGACATCCAGGCACACACATGCACCACAGGCCGCAACTGGAATTCCAACTCTCCCAACCAAGGCCAGGGTATTCCTGAAACCACCTTTTTCAAGGTCTGTGGTAGCCTTTCAAAACTGATCAGAGTAGGCTGTCCTCCTCTGTTTAGTATAAGTAAATATAACCCCAGGGCTCTGGCCACACTGACAATAGTCAAGAACCAAGAACTACATCTCCCTTCCTCCCACATTCCCCCCATTTTTCATCTTGTTCTGTAGACTGGATGGTGCAAATGGTTAATGTATTGGTTGCTAACTGGAAAGTTACAAGTTCAAATCCATCCAGAGGTACTATGGAAGAAAGACCTGGCAACCTACTTCTGAAAAATCATCCACTGGAAGTGCTATGGAAAGCAGTTCTACTCTGACACACACGAGTGGCTGTGAATTGGAATCAACTTGACGGCATCCGGCCTGGCCTAATCTCTGCTTTTTCATTTCTTTCTCTCTTTTAATTTACTTTACCTTCCATTCCCCTCTGCCTGCCCTCTTCTCCCTTCATCTGAGCAGTTTAAAAATGGAAATAGTTTGACACAATATCTATTATTACAAAAAGACTCTAAGAGCAGTGAAATGCCTCCAAGGCAATTTGGAGTTTCCCCACAAGGCCCTAGTGTCCCCCAGACTGGTGTCCTTTGAAATTTATTTTCCACAGCCTGCTTGGGACAGTTACTTTGGTGCACCCAAAGATACACAGAAATAATGTGAAGGTGCACCTGAACTAGTAGGCTATGATCTTTGCAATTACTTGCTATGCATCAAAGAGCTGGACAATGACTAAGGATGACATAAGAAGAATCAATGACTTTGAGCTGGGGTGCTGGAGAAGAGCACTGAATGTACCATGGACCATCAGGAGAACAAACAGGGTTAGGGTTAGGGTTAGAGCTCCTTGGATAAGGACATTATGCTTGTAAGGGGAAGAGACAGCACAGGAGAGGAAGATCTGGATCAGATGGACTAACACAGTAACTGGGGTTATGGAGGTAGGTGTGTTGGAGTCAGTGGGACTGGCTTAGGACAGAACAGGCTTCAGAGCTATAGAGCGCGGGAGATTTGATGGCACATAATGACAACAATAACAACAACATCACTTCCCCTTTTTGCATGGATGCCTTGAAATTCTCATTAGGAAAGGTCACCATGGTTTGTACAAGAACTGAGCCTTGATCTCTATTTTCTTTGATGCTTTTCCAAACTCATTTGCACCCCTTTCTCAAGCATATCTAGCTGCATTGTCTTGAGCTCTGGTGACCTAAGGGCAAGAAGTTGTACTGTAATCCCGAAGGCCTGTGGTTCAAGGCCACCAGCTGCTCTGTGGGAGAAGGATGGGCAATGTCCTCCTGTGTGATTAACTGCCTCTGAAAACCCACTAGAGAGTCAGCTAAGGGTTGGTTCTGACCCAATGATACACAACAACAACAACTTTTTCAAACTCATTTACACTCCATTCTCAAGCATATCTAGCTTGCATTCTCTTGATTTTTTTCTATCTTAGGACATTTTGTAGAGCATATTTCTCTGCCTATACTTCTCTGTCCCCTTTTTATCATTTTTTTCTAGTGCCTTTTTAGCATTAAGAACTATGCTCAATGTTTTCTCCTTCATTTTCCTAATCTAATCCTAATTCCCTCCTCACCACTTGTTACTCTTGATCACATGCCCTTGTTTCGTTTAATTCATAGCATTTACCAGGATCTGAAATGACCCAGGTTGCTTATTTGATGTTGTCACTCTAAGTAGAATGTAAGTTCCATGAGGGCAGGCACCTTGCCCCTTGTTCACTAATGGTACTAGATTGTTCACTCTGCCACTAGATCGCCTCTGGTACAGAGCAGGCACTTAGTACACATCTACAGAATGAATCAGTATATTGACTGTGTTGGTTAATTTTATCTGTCTACTTGGATGGACTATGGTCTCCAGGTATTTGGAAAGTCTAGTTGCTGTTATATAGGAATTATATATGATAGATAGGAATTTCCATAGGGTGTATTTTGTCTCTATATTATAAACAGATTGTTTTGACAAAACTCTCACCTCATTCTTACCATTGTCTAACCTAAGGCGAGTGGAACACAAGACTTTAGGTGTCTCTAGTCTATCTGCTGACCTGTGAATTTTGGATACGCCAATCCCTCAATTTTTCAAGTCCTTTGAAGTAAGTTAATCAAAAGCAAATGATTTATGAGATTATCAAACTCCAAATTCATACATTTCTAGTCAATTCTGATTCATAGGGAATTTATTGGGCAGAATTGAACAACCCCAAGGGGGTTTTCAGGCTGTGTATTTTCACATGAATGAAATGTCTCATCCTTGTCTTATGGAGCAAACTATTGGTAGGTTCAAACTATTGACCTTTTTGTTAGCAATAAACTCTTAAGGCGTGCACTACCAGGGATCCAAAAAGAGCTTTATCAAACGCACTCAAACTCTAATTCATTTCTGTTAAGTCAGAACCAATTCACAGCTGACCTTCCAGCAGGTTTTCAGAGACAGTAAATCACATAGGAGAATACTGCCCATCTTTCTCCTGAGAAGCAGCTGGTGGATTCAAGCTTCCTGCCTTCGGTTGGCGGTTTACTCAGTAAGCCACTGGAGCTTCTTAGGAGATTATGTTGTTGTGTTGATTGCTTTCCAGTCGAGCTTGACTCATGGCGACCCTATGAACAGAAGACCTGAAGCCCCGCTACAACTATCGACATTTATCAAAGGTCACAGAGTTTCTGGAGGCAAGTTGTTTAGGAAGTGGATGCCCCCCCAGCAGCAGCAGGTAAATTAAAAGTCTCTGTGCCAGGTCAAAGTCTGGAGACCCTTGTAGATTCATAGATATGGTTAGCTATCTGTGTATAAATACCAGATTCTGTTTCTCTAGAGAACCCTAAAATAGTAATATGAATGGTGGATTAAAAAATATTTCTCAGATAGTTTCAATGGTCCTTTTCCTCCAGGTCACCCAATAACAAAAGTCAAGTGACAAAAGACAAAGTGTCCAGGTGTCCAAATTGGTCAGGGGTCTGCACTTTTCACTGAGGACACCACCTGAAGAAATGGAGCTTTGAATTCGGTCCATATGTAAGACCACTTTGTTTTTCTTAAGGAAACACTTTTCATTTTTGTCTTAGCCAATACAGATTCGGGTGAGCTGATCTGAGACAGTGACTTTAAGGTTTAAACCAGGTTCCTCAAGTTAGTATTTTTCTGGTTGCTTGTGTAGAAGCGTTTGGAGTGTTTTATTTGCATCTGCACTATCTGTTTGCTCAGTGTCTGACTGTAAATAACTAAAAAACAGATACATAAGACATTTCTGGTGTCAGAGACTGGGAATTCATACATATCAACTCCCCAGCCTCTAGCTAGGTCCACATTCAAGTCAAACAGACTTCTATTCAACTGTTAAAGGGTTTCAGAGGAAACAACTTTCAGCTTTCCTTCTAACTCCTTCTAGTGTCTTCTACTTTCAAGGGAAACAAAAGCAGCTACTGAGAATCAGAATAAGATGTTTAAGACCACTGTTTAAGTGATCTCTCTCTCTCTCTCTCTCTCTCACACACACACACACAGTATCTCATATACACACTTGTGTACATTCAAACTTTCACCACAACTGCATACTCATATCACACACTCTTACACACTCACCTCACATGCACACTTATATACTCACATTCTCACACACACGTGCACGTGCTCTCACAAACGCACGTGCGAACACACAGTGTCCTTACCCACGTAGCCTGGGGTCCCACAGGCCGTGGACATCACATCTCCTTTACCCTCCATCTTTGACAATCCAAAGTCACTGATCATTATTTTTGACTCCTCATCTTGACTGTAGTACAAGAGATTTTCAGGCTAGAAACAAAGCAAGAGAGAGAGGAAAAAAAAAGACAACCTGTTTAAAACAGAGTTATTTATTTATAGGAAATTGCAAACTACAAAGTCTGTTCATAACAACTGGAAGATATATTTGACCTTTGGATCTATTAAGCAGATTAATAAAAAATAATTTTTCATGAAAGCAATGATAGGGCCCAATACAAGTTCTGGCACAAATACATTTTCTGTAGTCCTTTGCTATTTTTAAGGTTAAAAGTTAAGGCTTCTGGGGAGCTCTGGTGGCCCAGTGGCAAGGAGCTGCAACTACAATCCCAGAGGCGCACGGTTCGAATCCACCAGATGCTCTGCCGAGGAAGGAGGGACAATCTCCTCCTGTACCAGTCAGATCTGACTTGACGGTACACTCACACAAAAATAATAAAAATAAAAATTTTAAAAAAAGTTAAGGCTTCTATTTTTTTTAAATTTTATTATTTTTTGTATATGTACCGTCAACTTGGATTTGACTGGTTCAGGAGGAGACTGTCCCTCCTTCTCCAGCAGAGCATCTGGTGGATTCGAACCGTGCGCCTCTGGGATTGCAGTGCAACTTCTTGCCACTAGGCCATCAGAGTTCCCTAAGTCTCTCTATTTTTTTAAAAAAATAACTCTTTTTTTAAATGCAGTCCAGGTAGCCGATGCTTGTCCACACTGGTATATCCTATAAACGTCCTCAAATGGCTACATTTATGCTAACCCAGTCCTATTAGACTGGTCTCTTTTTTCCAGCAGACTATTTTTCTGGTTTCTTCCCAGATTGGGGGCAAACTCACTGCTGCCCCTTAACAAGCAGGTGGCAGGAGTATTCTCTGAAACTAAGTCTGTGTATTGGTAACATTTCCCCACCAGCAAGTGTAATTCTTGATTTTTCTGTATTTTGGGGTTGTTTGTGTAGGGTTATAAAATGCTTGGCTGTTGTCTCCCCATTTTCAGTGCTAATTCTCTGACCTTCTGCTACCAGAACTGTGCAGTGCTGCATCTGGCCAGTAAGTTTCCTGTCCCAGTAATCCAAATAAATTAATGTCTTTTGGGTTGTCTCCAGGCCAATATTTTTGTCTGTCTGTGAACACGAACCTTGAGGGACTTTCCTTCTGAAGAGCAAGCCCCAACACCCACTTGTCAACTTACTTCTCAGGCCAGGAGAAGTAAGTTTCCCAGAAAGTAAAATTACTTTCTCAGGTCCTATTATTGTTGAGTATCATCTTCTCATGTAACAAGGACACCGAGGACAGAGCAGAACTGTCCTGTAGGTCTTTTGAGGCTGTAATGTTGACAGGAGTAGATTGCTAGGTGGTTTTCTTGCAGAGCCAATAGGTAGATTAGAAATGGCAAGTGTTCAGTTAACAGCTGAGTTCTTAAATATCACCACCAGGTAATAGTTTCCTAGGTATTCACCTGTTTGTTTGATCGTAACTCCTTTTCTAGGTATTAGCCTGTTTGTCTAGTAACTCTTGTAACCAACTTTCCTCTAAGCCTAGAGAGTCTCTCTCTTGTTCTCAGCAATACCGAACGTGCCCTGCAGTTCCAGCTGACCTGCTATACATTCCCCTTTACTGAGGCCAGCTGATGTCCATTTCTCCCACCCCAGGAAGGATGATGTTGTCATGGAATGAAATGGTGCTGGGAAAAATTCCAGGATCTTCTAGCTATGTGTCCTAAGTACTTTGAGCTTTTGTTTGTTTTCCTTGTAAAACACAGGCAGAAATGTTCACTTCCCTGTAGAGAATATGACAGTAGCAATAAAGCACTATACACAACAAAGGTCTTATCATCGTTTCTGTCTCCCCTGGAGTTCTGCACTATCAGCGGCATCTACATTATGTCTACACAGGCATGCTCCATCTCACTGTGCCTCACTTTATCACAGCTGTTGCTTTTTAAGAAGCTACAAAACAAACTGAAGATTTGCAGCAACACTGTGGGGAGTAAGGCTCACTTCATTTCTCCGGGTCACATTCTGGTAATTTTGACAATATTCCAGACTTCTTCATGATGTTATTGCCCTCTTAGTAGACTCCTTCGCTCACTGCTGTGGAGCCGGTGCCTGACTTACTCTATCAGGTTTCCAAGGTTCTAAATCTTAATGGGAGGAGACTGCCCATCTTTCTCCCTCAGAGCAGTGGGTGGACTCAAATCACCTGCCTTTGACTTGGCAGCACAACTCCTTACCACTAGGTCACCACAATTTTTAAAATGATGCTGTCCTAGAGGGAGAGGATGCTAACCACTGACCCCTCACTTGTTGTCTAGTAATATGCATACACCATGACAGTCCTGAAGGTGTCTGATGTTTCTCATCTGCACTATTCTTAGGGGAATGCAGCATGAAAAATCTCTGCAGATTGTTTCCTAACATCCATTCTCATCTGGCTCTCCTTCAAACCCCAAGAGTGCCACAATTTCTTCTCATCCATGTTTTGTGATATGAATTTGGCTCCTAAAGACTAAAGTTTATGAACTAGGCTTGTGTGGAGGAAGTGATCAGACTTGTTGAAAAAAGTGGTTCTTAGATTTATTATGCAGCCAAGTCACTCATAAAGATATTAAGTAGCTAGAAATGGTGTCCAAGGTGTGTTTAAGGATGTGCTGACTTTTAGAGTCCTTGGATGATACAAAGAAGTCCTGGTGTTGTGGGCTGAGTGCTGGGCTGCTATTTCACTGGGGATCTATAGTCTAGGGGACCCCATGGGGCAGATCTACTACTCTGTCCTATGTCACCCCTGAGACACTCCTGACTCAGTGGCCATGATTTTTCAGTGGGCCATGCACAGAATTGACTCATCCATTAATAGAAAGGCTGGAGATTCAGGTTTACCCAGAGGCACCTGGGGAACAATCTACTTCTAAATCATCAGCCCCTGACAACTCCATGGAGCATAGTGCTACGTGGAAAGACACACACCCCCACACCCTACCATGGACTCGACTTGATGCCACTCGTTTATTCACTGAGTTTTAAAAGAAGAGAAAATAAACCAATCAATAGTTGACAGAGGAATATTGCGTTAAAAATCAGGGTGAAACAATCCCAAAAAGCCCAAATGTTTCCTGTTTTTACAGAATGTTTATGAATCCTACTTTGAACAACAAAGAGCCAATCATAGGTTCTTTTAAAATAAAACCTTTCAAATATAAATTTCTGATGTTTATTTTATCTTAATGAATTAATGGTATTTTTCAGAATATTAAAAAACCCATTTCATACTTTATTCTATTTTAATCTTCATTGTCAGCACCTATCCAGTAAAGAAGGAGAAATAATTGATCTCATGCTCCTAAACAAGTCAGACCTGACAAGAGATCATCAAAGGGCCAAGAAGACCTCACCCCACATTCTTTCTAAGAGAGGCCCATTACATCAATAAAGCCTTCATTTGAAGACTAAGCACTCCCCAGGAGGGTTAAATCTACTGTTCCTTTACAGCTGAGATCAATCGTTTTCATTGGCGCAGGATTTAGTAAAGACAGCAGGGCTTTTCTTGGTGAAGGAGGGAAGAAACAGGACCAGGGATAATGTGGATGGAGGGGAGGTGAGGAGGGGGCAGCATGGTGTGGGGGAGGCAGTCAGAGAACACTGCCTACTTCACACGGCAAAATCAGCTTCTCTTCTTCTGAGGTCCAGATTCACACTCCGAAAAAAAAAACCCAAAACTATTGTTCTATATATTATAGAATCTATGCAAGGCAATTGGTGGTCAGTATCTGAATTGAAATGTCAAACCCAACCCTTTAATGGTTCATATGAAAGACTAACACTAAAGTTACTACACGCAACCCAATGGTTCTAAACGGGGGCAATTTTGTTCCCAAGAGGGTATTTTAAAATGTCTGCGGACATTTTAGGTTGTTACAATTCTAAAGGTATTTCTGACATTTAGTAAGTGGAGATCAAATTACTAAAAAGTAATGAGTCAATTTAAAAACTAAGGTGTGCCTGATTTAGGCCATAGTCTTTTCAATCACTTGCTGTACATCTGAGAGCTGGACAATGAATATGGCTGACAGAAGAACTGAGGCCTTTGAGCTATGTATGGTGTTGGAGAAGAGTACTGAATATCCTACAGACTTCCAAAAGAACAAACAGATAAGTCTTGGAGAAGGTACAGCCAGAATACTCTTTGAAAGCAAAGGTGAAAGCTTTGTCTCACATACTTTGGCCATGGTGCTAGGACAGACGATTCCCTGGAAAGGGACACATCATGCTTAGAAAGTAAAAGGCCAGTAAAAGTTATACCCTCAGCCAGATGGATTGATACAGTGATTGCAGCAACGGGCTCAAGTGTGTCTGAGATTGTGAGGACGGCACAGGACATGACAGCGTTCAGATCTGCTGTTCTGAGTTGCTATGAGTCTTACTTGACTCAGTGGCACCTAACAACAATAGCAATGCATAGAAACACCCTAATGAATGAAGAACTATCTAGCCCAATATGTCAACAGTGCAAAGCTATGCTGCAATCCTGAAGGTGCAGTGCTTCATGGGAGAGGGATGGGTAAGCTTCTGCTGTGCAATCTACTGCCTCTGAAAACCTACCAGAAAGTTGGCTACTAGGCAGTTTTGACGTGATGGTACACAGCAACAACAGCAATTCTAAGAAGGCAATAGTAGGCCTTTCCTTTCTATGTCGTCTCAAAGGACAACTGTCTCTAGTTGCTTCTTCTGCCAACCACACAAGAATTTCTGAAGAGAGACAGAGGTATGTATGCATGTCAGGGTCCTACCCAAATTGTTAACTCATCTAAGATAATCGGGACCATGTTCGCCATAGCTCTAGTCTAGAACTATCGTTGTTTTAATTTTCTTGAATGTTTACGGAAACTTAATATTCCAATCTCAATTTCTTCCACATAGCTCATACTCCCTTGTTCCTCTGCAAAGAGATCATACAGAGGCCCCAAAATGGCACTGTTCTCTCTACAATTATATGCCTGGAGATCTAAAGCTCCCCAGGCTGGGAGTTGCAAGTACTTCTTTT